GCCCACCCTCGTAGGGCCCCTGTGGCATTATTGCAGTGACCACTTTCCTTCCTTTCCTGGCACCAAGCCCTGTGTGCACACACTGGCACACACACAAGAGGTGGTACATGAGCTGGCTCAGTCACCTGGGGCCATGGTAACCACATTCAAAATGCAAAATCACACTAAAAGGCTGCCAGGGACGCTGGGGACCAGGCAGTCTCCCAGACAGCTTCAGCTGGGCCTGGCCCAGCTTTAGGGCCTGAGGAGAGGGAGCCAAATGGCTGCAGCTACAAGTCAAAGGGGTCAGAGGCCTCTGATGTTGGTGCTGGAAGCCTCTCCCTTCTTTCCCCACAGGGTTATGGGGGCTCCTCCACTCCCCTCCTCTTATTTACCTGCTTCTCCAGGATCCCTGGAAGAGCAGGGTTAGCAGGCATATACTATAGCCATTCAAATCAAGTCTACCAGAAATGTGGGTTTCCACTTTCGGCTGAGTTAGGGTCTCGGCTTCTGAAATTAGCAAGCTCTGGTTGCTGGTGGGAGCTAGGGGTTGCTCCTTTTCTCTCTCTACATACTCTTTGCTGGGTGACCTCATTCCCTCCCATTGCCTGAAACATCTTCCAGTTACTGGTGACATCCACATTTATAGTCCCAGTCCAGAAATCCCCTCTCAGCTCCATTCATTCATTTGTTCATTCATTCAGCAAACACATGTGGTGTCTCTGTCTGAGGTACTGCTGTATATGCTGGGTATACAACAGGGACCCAAATAGACACCCCCTCCTCATGCTCTCCCTGCTCACTAATGTGCCCGTGTGGCTGTCCCTAGGTGTCTTCACAGCTCCCTGATGCTGAGCTGTGATTCCACCCTTTTGTCTCCCTGGTCCCCCTCTCAGTGTGTGGCCAGCATCCACCTTGAAGCTGAAACAGATGTTGTCAAAACCATCCTCCCATTCCTTAATTCATTCACTCATTTTTCGTGCATCAAATTAGTAAACACCCATACTCTGTCATTGGGGAAACAGTGGTGAACAAGACCAACAGGATCCCTGCCCTCATGGGACTTACATTCTAATCAGGGAGAGAGGCCAGAAGACCAATAGACAAAAATAATCTCCCACTCATATTCCAACCCATTGCCAAGTTCCACATTTCTAGCTCTGAAATACATGTTAGGGATTTCCCACTTCCTGCTCTTCACCCCACTCCTGCAGCTGGACTCCTGCAGGAGCCTCCTCCCAGGTCTCCCTGGGTCCCATCTGCCCTTCTGCCACCAATCTCCACCCAGCCACCAGAGAGAGAGCATCTTGCAATGGAAACTGAATCAGATTCATGTCATCCCTGCTTAGAACCCTTTCAATGGCTGGGTTCCCACTGAGTATACAATCCAGATTCCTTAGGAGGGCCTGTGAGGCCCTGCTGCTCCTGAGGCCCATCTTGCCTCTGCTCTCAGCCCCTGGGACCAGCGGCTCACTTTCCTGTCAGTTTCCCACACATCCCCTGCCCTCTCACCTTCACTGTTTTTGCACTTGCTGTTCCCTCACAGGGACTACTTTAACCCAGCCCAGCCCCTCCCAACCTCCTTCTCGTGGCTGAGAAGGCCTGGCTGTACATGTCACTTTCTTGGTGAGGCGTTTTCCCCCCCACACATCCATGCCCTTCTGCCTCTGTCAGTTTCCATCACTGCTGCCAGTGCATTTTCCTGAAGGGACTTGCAGTCCTCTGTAACTATCAGTTGTGAGTTCCTGCTTCCCTGTAAGTTGCTAGGCCTGTAGAAGCTCAGTAAATATGAACAAATGAATGAATGGGCAGGAGATAGGCCTGGCACGAGCAGCTGCTGAACTCCGTCCTCTCTTATGCCTCATAGGCTCTGTCTCCAGCTGGCTTTGCACCTCACTTCTAGGGCATTCCTAGGAGTCCTTGGGGAATAACGTGAAAACGCTTCTTTTTACATTGTGCATTTCCTGCCTGAGAAACTGTTGGAATAATGAGGAAACCTTAGAGAGTTCCCATAGCTCTTCCCCCTCTTCCTTTTAGAACCTACCATTTTCTACCTGGTACTTGGTACTTGTCAAATTCCCCCTCTGGCAGCAGTGAGCTGCTCAGAGGAGCTGGTTCCTCCAAGCTCCCCCTTGAACGCCTAGCCTGGTGCTACATGCAGAGTAGGCACTGAGCGAAATGCAGAAATGAATGAAGAAGGTGCTGGGAAAGGAAGAGTAAGAAGGCAGAGGGAGAAGAAAGGAAAGAGGAAGAGGAGGGAGGGGCAAAGGGGGTGATGAAGAGTGAAGAAAGGAAGGAGGGAGGGAAGTGAGGTCAGGGAGTGGGAAAGAGGAAAAAAGAACCTGGTCCTGCGTCCACCTGGACTCAGCACCCCACTCCGCCACCCCTCCCAGTCTTCCTGGACTCAGCACCCCACTCCGCCACCCCTCCCAGTCTTCCTGGACTCGGCACCCCACTCCGCCACCCCTCCCAGTCTTCCTGGACTCGGCACCCCACTCCGCCACCCCTCCCAGTCTTCCTGGACTCGGCACCCCACTCCGCCACCCCTCCCAGTCTTCCTGGACTCGGCACCCCACTCCGCCACCCCTCCCAGTCTTCCTGGACTCGGCACCCCACTCCGCCACCCCTCCCAGTCTTCCTGGACTCGGCACCCCACTCCGCCACCCCTCCCAGTCTTCCTGGACTCAGCATCCCACTCTACCGCCCCTCCCAGTCTTCCTGGACTCAGAGCCTCCTGGGCCTGCTCCGGCCTCAGGTGGGACTGCAGGGCTCCTCCAGCCTGCCACTGACACCAAGGGCACCCTGAGCTCTCAGCTCACAGACCCCAGCCACCCCGAGAGACTGCTCCTTAGGAGACCTCTGCAGGGCCCAGAGCCCAGGATTCCTTAGCCTGAGGCCCAGCGCCACCTGCAAGATTCCTAGAGACTCCCCTCAGCTCCCCTCCCCTCAGCTCCTCATTTTCAGCCCCTGGTCCAAGGACGATTAACTCCAAATCCAGCATCAGTGATCAAATGTTCATCGGAAACTAAAGAAAACGAACACCGGCTTTCCTCCATGCCTCAGCCTTGGGCCCCAGAGGCTCGGTGGCTCAGAGACAGGTGCCCCACCTCCTCCCCGCACCTGGCCCAGGCCTGCCAGCTGCCCCTCGGGAAGACCAGGGACCAGCCTTGCAGGCCCGGAGGATCTGTTCCCAGAGTAGCTGTTGCCACGGCGACCCTCCCTGGGGTGCTGGCTCCTAAGCTCCCATGAGAAGCAGAGCTGTGCCACTGCCACGGCCACCACCACCAGGGCTGCCACCACGGCAAAGCTGCTCCTAATTAGGCTGCTGAGAGACCAGTCTGTGCCATCCTCTCACTGCACCAGGCAGCCACAGTACCAGGGAACAGGAGTCACCATCAGCCCTCTCCCAGCATCCCTCCGTGTGCCCAGGACCGCTCCTCCCGTGAGGGGACGACACTGTTTGCACTCCTAGCAGATCGATTAGGCACCTCATTTCTCTCAGGACCCCACTCGAGATGGCATCCAGCTCCCAGGGAGCCCGGGGACAGGATGTTGAGGGCAGTAGGGAGGTAAGAAGGCTCCAGCGATACCAGGCTCCCTCTGGGCCTCAGTGCTGGGTGGTGACAAGCTGGGTTTCCCTGGACAGGACTAGAGAGTTGCTCTCTAGTACTCTCCATCTTTCTTCTCGGGTTCATCCCCACCCCTGCCAGAGGTTCTCGCTGACTACTGTCCCCTTGCATACTGGCCCCCAAACATACACACACATTTCCAGAGTCCTGCTCTCTTCACCCTCTTCATTTTCTGATCTATGCACAAGAAAGTATCTTGTGTTAGTCATTAGCACTCTAGTAGGAATTTAGGGCCCATGTATATTTCCTAGGAGATAGAACTGTTGACCTTCTGTCAACTTGTAGAGTGAGAGCCTTGTTCTCTGTGATAGGAAGTCCCAGCACGAGAGAGCTCCAAGCAGGATAGGTAATTGTTTGGATTAGGAGAGGAAGAAATCCAAAACTTCCTTGTGTGGGTCAAATTAGAGGCCAGGGCTATACAAGGAATTCTGGCCTGACTCCAATTAACAAGGACATGGAGCACAAAAGAGAAATCCAAAGGGATATGCAACAGAAGCTGCCTCTGTCTGGAAGATCTTCCCTCTCCTGTGCTCCCCTCTTACGTTCCACTGTTGTGTCCTCAGCCTGGCAAACTCTTACTCATCCCTCAAGACCCACTCCACTGTCACCTCTGAGAATCCTTCCTGGGCTCTTCCAGGTAGAGTTCCTCTGTCCTTTATGCTCGCACAGAACCTTGCATATTCCTCCATCATAGCACAGTGCTAATTTATTGCTTGTTTACTCATTTATGGATGCTTTCCTTATTCATGTTTTTACCTCCAACCCCTGCTCAGTGCTCAGGAGCCCAAAGGTGAACAAAGCAATGAATGAATGAATAAGGAGTGAATGAATTAGCTGCCCTTTGCTGACTTCTGTCGTTCACCTCTGTCATTCAGGTCCGTGGTTGGGTTGTAAGATTTGTCCAGAATAATTCTCGGGGATGCTGGGCCTCTCACTCTACCATCCCGCCGCCACCAGGCAGCCAAGTCTCCTCTTACCCACACCACCCTCACCATCAGTGCTCCCCTCCACAGTCTGCACTCCCCCCAACTCTCCAGGCTTCAGCCATCTGGGCCCTTCTTTCCCGATGTTAGTAGCTGCAGTTTGGGTCACAGTCAACGTGGAACAGCACGGGGTTCACGCCCTGGGTCCTTTCTGTCTCCATTCTTCTTCCTTCTCCGTCTTCGTTAGTGGTGTTCTGTGAGCCTCTCACCCACCCCGACTCTCCAAGTGCTAGTTAGGTGCTCAGGTTTGTGCTCTTGGACAAAACTACTGCCACATAAGTTGACAAAGAAAAAGAGGCCGGCAAGGGCTGTTTCCACAGGGAGACGTCTGAGCCAATCCCATGCTATTACTGCGCTTGAAGTTCCACATCTGTGAATGGGAATTAAGCCTCCCCTGTCTTCCTTCAAGGTGGGATGCTAATTACATGAGAAAGTGGATGGATGGGTCCTTTGGAACTCCTGAAGCGCTACTGAAGGTAAGGGGCTAACATTCTTCAGACTTTCTCTCTTGGACTTGGGTGTTCCTCCAGAGTCAGAGGGCATTAACCCCGACATGGCAATGGATCAGAGCAATCCCTGAAGGTAAGGGCTTTTTTTAATCACTCACATTTTACAGGCGAAGAAACCAGAGAGTAATTTGATGGAGATCTCACAGATAGATTTCACAGGCCGATTTTGACCATGCTTCTACACTGGCTCTGTGGCCAGACACAGCCACAGTGAGGAGCTGGCCCCTTGGCACCAGCACCACCACGACGTCGATTGCCATCGTTTCCCGGTCCACAGCCAGACCGCTATTTCTGGCTCCCCTGGCTTTGCCACTTGTGAGCTGCGTGACCTTGGCCAAATGACTTAACCTCTCTAAGCATGGTCTGTGAAATGGAGATAATGATACATCTTTAGATTTTGCCCAGAGGAGTAAATGGAGGTGGAATATGTGAAGGGGCTATAGACCCAGGTAGGAAACAGTGCTCAGTGTGTGTCCTTCCCCACTGACATTGAGGAACCCTGCCCTGGCAGGCATGACTTGCACAATAGAAGCACTAGAAGCCCTTTTTCAGAGGGGTTGAGAGGGTGGAGGCAGGTCCAGCTCGAGGTAGGGCCTTGGGACACCAGTGCTCATGAGATAACTCACCGTCACGCCCATTTCCCCCTTGACGACCCGGAAACAGTGGCACCTGCATGCTTGCTTCCTGAAGCAGTGAGAGGCCAGAGGGAAACACACACCCCTGAAAGCAGGATCTCAGAAGCTGAGAAGGGGAATACGAAGAGGAGGAGAAGGAGGGGGACAGGGAGAGTGGCAGAGAGAGGAGCAGGAGCCTCGGAGCCAGCCGGGAGAGAAAAAGCAGGCAGGGAAGGGGGAGAGACTGCACCCGGCTGTGGGGAGAGGCTGCGGAGCCTAAAATGAACTGAACAGGCTGGAAATAGAACAGCCGGGCAAACCCCAAACGCTCTGTTTGGGTGTCTGCTGAGTGAGCACGTGAATGAGCAGAACGGGGCAACAATGCAAGGAAGAGGTGGCACATTTCACCCTGGAGGTAGGTCAGAACAAGAGGCACGTATTCCAGTCCAGCACAGATTAGTCAGGGTTCTTTTTCCGCAATGTTTTCTTTAGGTAATCGTTATTTTTAACAGGCTGGTTTGGTGGTGGGATTAGCCTGACGCCACTCCATCATTGGCAGGTGGACGGTTTGGGTTTCTTTGAGACCAAGACCACTCTGGGTTCTTATTTTAACTGTGGATGCCACTGGTTTGGGGAGAAGAGATCTTAATCCACTTTCCAATTGGAGGCTCAGGAATCCAAGCTGTGTAATGGAATACATTTCCCTTATTAGAACAAACCCTAACTCGGGTGCGGTGGCACATGTCTGTAGTCCCAGCTACTCAACAGGCTGAGACGGGAGGATGGCTTGAGCCCAGGAGTTTGAGGTTGCAGTGCACTATGACGGCACCTCTAAATTAGTCATGGCACTGCAGCCTGGGCAACATAGCGAGACTCTGTCTAAAAATAAAAAATAGAAAGAACAAAAAGTCCAGTTCCAGGATGGGTCAGGACTAGCCTGGGGGGCCCTGCCTCTCTCAGCTCACAGAGCCATGCCATGTCTCACACACACCAACACACTTCGCCCTGGGAGGTGCCCAGGCCACCTGTGGTTCTGCCATGGGCTGGTTCCTTCCCCGATCACCAGCAGCTCCACCTCTCTGATTCTCCCCACCTCTCCCCTCAGCCCCCTGACACACAATATGAAGAACTTTCGGTCTAGAAATGAGACATGGGACCAGCAGAGGCTATGAAGATAATGAGCCACGTGGCCCCGATGGCTGCCATTTAGCTCAATCCAAGGCATCCATGCCGTGGGGGGTTTGCTCCATCACTGGTTTCTCTAGAATTAACTCAGCTGTACTTGACACTGAATGTGGACAGGAATTAGGGGGCCTGAACTCCAGCCTCCCTTCCGCCATGGGCTATGCAGTCTGGCAACTTGCTTAACCTGGCTGAGCTGCAGTTCCCCATTTGGGATAAAGTCAGGGATAACACTGCCCACCTCAGCAAGTTCACACAAAACTCCAGTAGATCCTGTACCCCTCCTACTTAGCTCAATAACTTGACATTGTATAAGGTTTAATTTCCCTCCTTCCTCCCTTCCTTCTTTTCTGGATGAGCTTTAAGAACCTTTCCCAATTCAATAGGTAGATTCCACTAGAGAACCTTTGAGGAAAGCTAAATTGGGGAGAAAAGGAACATAGGCTAGCCCACAGCCTCCCCATGAGGGGCTGGGGCTGGAGGGGTAGGTCTGGCAGAGGAGAGAAGGGGAGAGACGAGTGATCAGAGGGTCTCAACCTAAGTGCTGGTGGCTTCTGTGGCAGAGAGGCAACTGAACCTATATGTGGTATTTGGATCACAGCTGGAATTCAGACTGGATTTTGGCTTTAATAAAATATTTGACATTTTGTGGAGCTCAGTTTTAAACATGGGGCTGAGAGCTGGCAGATCTATGTCCATTTAGGACCATTCCCCAAGTTCTAACTCAGTTTCCTCTGCTGCTCTGGGCTTCAGTGTTCTCTGCTCTTCCTGTCATCAGAAGGCATTCGGTGATCAGTTAATGGCAAAAAGCATCAGAAGCAAGAAGACTTATCTCTAAGGAGATCAGGCCAGAGTTTTCAACTGGGTAGTTATCCTGCACTTGGTGATTGTACAACCCTAAGTGGAAATAGGACCCTAAAGTCCACTCTCTTCCGAGACTAGTCACTTGGAAACACAGCAGCCATAAGGAAGCTGATTTAAGACCCTTCGGTTCTGCTTCCATAACGCACCCCCAACAGAGCTGGCTTGGCTATGGAACCGTCCAGAAATCTCTCCCTCTCCACACTGCCTCTTCTCTTCCTGTTAGGCAAGGGCTCTTGGCCTGAAGAAACTTGCCCAGTGCATGTATCTTGTCTTCAGGTTGAACAAGAGGTTCAACAAGTCAGTTTCCTCTTTCTGACATTGAGAGGGTGGAGATCAAGGAGAATGTTTCAGAGAACGAAGGAGTTCTTGGCTCTTTGTATTATCTGTGCCTGTTCCAGCTCTGGCTGCCCTTGTTTGACCTGCTTCTTGCAGGAGGTAGAGACCAGCATGGTAGGGAATGCCCACAAAGTACTCCAGGCTTCTCGGATATAAAGGACAGAAAAATCAAAGCTGGCTCTTACCTCCATCCAGATGGATGGGGTTAAAAATAGTCCAAGCCCATTTCTTGCCTCACTTGTCCAGTGGCTAAGTTAATGCCAAACTGGGATTTCTCTGACCTCATGTTAACCCAACCTCAAGGCTACCAGAGTATCAGCTACTAAATCACCAATCTATAAAAGTCATCTTGCAGCCTTTTTCAGATCCCTGAAGGAGCCTTTAATCCATCCTGACCTCAGAAGCCACCTTGCACCCTCTGCCTGTATTTGGGAATCACCTCTATCACTTGGTGCCCAGAAAATATTTTTAGCTACGAATAATGACTCAGACTTCATCCCCATTTACAACTGGGGTGATGAGGGTAGGGAGTTGGAAAAGATTCCACCAGCCACAGGTCTAACAGCTCCTTGAACGAAGTTTGCTAAAAGACGAGACTGGTCATGCCCTTCCTCTTCTGAAAAGTCTTCTCTGACTCCCTGCTGGATAAAGGTGAGATGCGTCAGTGTGGCTTCCCGGAACCTTCACCATCTGGTCCCAGCCTCTCTTTTGGGCCTCAGTCAGTCCCTGCCACACAGTCGGACTCCAATCTCATACACACAGGAGTGTTTGAATGTGTGCACTTTCCTGCATTGGGTCACACACTTCCCTGTGCTTGGGAGTGTCCCCTCCTTTCCTCCACCTTGTGAACCGGCTCATCCTTTGTGTAGTCTTTTCATTCTTTCTTTCTTTTCTCTTTTTTTGGTACACATTTATTGGGTACAAGTGCAATTTTGTCACATGCATAGATTGCACAGTAGTAACATCAGGGCTTTTAGGGTATCGGTCACTCAGATAACATACATTGTACCCATGAAGTAATTTCTCATGACCCACCCCTCTCCTGCTCTCTCTCCCTCTGAGTCTCCATTGTCCGTCATTCCACTCTCTACATCCATGTGTGCACATTTTTAAGCTCCAACTTATGAGTGAGAACATGAGATATTTGTCTTCCTGTGTCTAACTTATTTCACCTCTTGTTCCATTTATGTTGCTACAAAAGACATAATTTCATTCTTTTTGTGGCTGCATAATATTCCATGTGTATGTGTATCATGTTTTCTTTTTCTTTTTTTTTTTTTTCAGACGGGGTTTCGCCATGTTGGTCAGGCTGGTCTTGAACTCCCGACCTCAGGTGATCCGCCTGCCTTGGCCTCCAAAGTGCTTGGATTATAGGCGTGAGCCACCGCGCCCAGCCCTCACGTTTTCTTTATCTACTGATCATCTGTTGGTGGGCAGGGCATTTAGGTTGAGTCCATGTCTTTGCTCTGAATAGTACTGCAATAAACATATGAGTGCAGGTATCTTTTTTTTTTTTTTTTAAACACAAGGTCTAGCTCTGTCACCAAGACTGGAGTGCAATGGTGCCATCACAGCTTACTGCAGCTTTGACCTCTCAGGCCCAAGTGATCCTCCTCTGAGTAGCTGGGACCACAGGGACATGCCGCCATGCCTGGCTAATTTTTAATTTTTGTAGAGATGTGGTGTTGCTATGTTACCCAGGCTGATCTGGAGCTTCTGTGCTTAGGCAATCTTCCTGCCTTAGCCTCCCAAAGTGTAGGAATTACAGGTGTGAGCCACCGGCCCCGGCCTTTCTTTTTGATACATTGATTTCTTTTATGAAGTTTTTCCTTCCCTTTCCCCTTCCCTTTCCTTTCCGAGACAGAAGCTGGCTCTGTCACCCAGGCTGGAATGCAGTGGCGTGATCTCGGCTCGCTGCAACCTCTGCCTTCTGGGTTCAAGCAATTCTTCTGCTTGAACCTCCCAAGTAGCTGGGACTACAGGCGTGCACCACCACGTCCAGCTAGTTTTTGTATTTTTAGTAGAGACGGGGTTTCACCATGTTGGCCAGCTGGTCTTGAACTCCTGACTTCGTGATCCACCTGCCTCAGCCTCCCAAAGTGCTGGGATTACAGGTATGAGCCACCGCGCCAGACCTTGTGAAGTCTCTTCTAATCCACCTTGTCCCGCCAGCAGAACGTCTTGCTCCTCAACCAGTGACATACCTTTACAAGAGCATTTGTTGCACCAGATATTTACTCAACTGCTTTCCACGGGCCCTTTCAAGCCTCATAGATTAGACTCTCCTGTAGTCCTGGCCAACTAGATCACGGGGATATGTGTAGATATGGTAGGAAAATGATCCAAAATATAGCTGTGGCCTAGAGGATGCCTGCGTGTTCCTTCAATATCATACTGAGGCTTTGTCTGACATGAAGATTACTAATTCTCTAAAAGTGTGCTATCAACAGATGGCTATTGAACGCTTGAAATGTGACTACTGCCCTTGTCAAAATGACAATATTTTGAATGTGTTGGGTTAAATAAATTATTAAAATGAATTTCACCTGTTTGTTTTTACTTTTTAATGTGACTACTAGAAAAAGTTAAATTATGCACCTGAGTCACATTACATATCCACTGGAAAGTGCTGCCGTAGAAGACAATAATTGCTTGACTTTGTCATTTGCTATTGATTAAGGGCTCAGACTGTGAAGTTACATATTAACTTACAGGGTTTTTGTTTGTTTGTTTGCCTGATAGTCAAATGATTTGTATCCAGTAGGAAAAATAACCCAGTTTTATTTCCTTGTAGGACATTAACTAAATATGTATTTATTTTTTAAAAAATTATTTTGGTGTGCCTTTCTTTTAAATCCCAGTTCCTCAAATGCTCTTTGAATCAACTTTATTATTGTATTGTTTGAGCTCAATAAAATCTTTAATACATATTCATACTATAACTTTGTGAGACTAGTGTTTCTAACTTTTTGGAAATTATACTTTGACATATCTCTGTCTCCTGTTCAGCTTGAGGGCAGAGACTCAATTATTAACATACCTAATATTAAGTTGGGACTCAGTCGATGTTGAATGAATGAAAATCATGTGTTTCGAATTGAGACTGAAAGTTTAAACTGCCGGCCAAACTTTGTGGCGGGGTCTCTATCAGCCACATGTCTAGAGAGTGGCAGATGTAGGAAAGATAAGACCCTCCCTTCAGGAACCTGAACTATTTGGGTGGTTTCCCAGTTTTAGGAACCTGTGATCACCAGGGGATGCTGGCCAAAGAAAGTCTCTTCTGTCAGCTCAAAGGTGAGGTCCTCTCAGGCCCCCCACCCTGCCCACCCACCCCGGGGGGCTGCAGGAAGTATGGAGCCCAGATAGGATTCTTGTCCTTTCCTGCCCCATGGCTGACTACATCACTATGAAGATTCTGTCAGACAACCCTAACTGCTTTTCACGATCTGGACACAGAGACACTTTTGTTGTTAGAGGTCAGTAGCAGGGTAGGCCCCTTTTTTCTGGAGGCCCTGGAAAAAATTCTTTGGGTCCTGCGTCCTGGCAGACAATTGCAAGAATATGTCTCTTCCTCTTTACGCTCATGGCCTTCTCCACAATAGGGGCTGGCAGGCTGGTAGCTGAGGGTGGAAGTTGCTTGCAAATTCCTTGAGGACAGAAGCTGTTGATTTGTATGCCTGGCACCTGCTTATCACATTGCCTGGCATACAGCAGACACTCAGTGAATGCTAATCCACCTCGCCTCCCTCGGCCTGACTTCAGCACCAGAGCCAGCTTCCTTCCAATGAGTCTGATATATAGACTCCTTGGCCTGGACAGAACACTGATTAATCAATTCCCCTCTGGGAGTCTGAGCAGGATCAGCTGATAATTAGGTATCAAGCTCAGGGTTGGCGACCTTTTAGAAGTGTCACTGCTCTTGCCTGCTGTTCTTAAAAGAAAAAATGAGTAGAGGCCTTGCTTCTGGAGAAAGAGAATAAAAACATTGCCTTAAAAAATTGTTGTCAAATAGACTCACAAAAATTTTTTATTTTAGCCATTTTTTTCAGTGGCGTTAAATACATTCACATGTTGTGCAACCAACACGGCCGGCGATCTCCAGAACTCTTTTCATCTTCCCAAACGGAGGCTCTGCGCCCATTAAACAATAATGCCTCATTCCCTTCTCCCCCAGCCCCGGCAACCAGGGTTCTACTGTCTGTGTGAATTTGACTAAGTGCCTCATATAAGTGAAATCATATGTTTTCAAGTCCCACCTTGAAGCTGTTATCAGCAAACACCTTCCTTAATTGACAATTAACACCTTAGCAGGAATTAGTTGCTGAAAACAGGAATGGGTCATCACCACTTTTCTCATGCCAAATTAAACACCCTCTTCCAAATGGTTCCCAGACACAGCTCCCCTTTCCCAGGCTCCTCCACCTCCCTCCTCCCACATGACCAGGCCTACCTCATCGCCCAGCGATGCCTAATCAGCTTAACCCTCATCTCCAGCCAGAAGTCCAGGCAGACCCCTAGGAGGGGTCCCTCCTCCCTCCTCCACGTCCTCCAGGCGGCCATCTGGTAGACCACCCTGTATCTTGCCCTACTGCCTTCTGCACTCACTCCCTGAGGGCACAGTTCCTGTCAGTCTCTGTATGGCATACACCTACAAACCAGGCCGTCGAGTTGCTTAGAATAATTCATGGGCCACATTTGGCACCACTGAGCAAGCCTGGGCCACTTTGTGGTTGGAAGCTCCCAGGAAAAGAGATGGGATTGTCCTCTTGAAGAAATATGCCTGCATGGTTGGCATAAGGAAAGGTCAGGGGCACTGTCAGTGTGGATAGAGATTCCTGTCCTGAGGAAAAGCAAATTGCCAAGGGGCTGAAGTAGTTTTGAGACTTTCCGCACAGTTATTTCTTCCTTTCTTCACTCGGTCATCCCACAAACATAGAGTGGCACTTGCTCTGAGTGAGGCACCCAGCAAGGCCCCCGAGGGAAGGAAGGAAGAGGAAAGGAAGACCTCCTTGGAGGTGCTGTGTGCTCATATACAGCCAGTTTGCTGAGAAAGGACCACTCTCCTAGAAGAGGCCCCGGGCTTCTCTGGGAGGAGGAGAGGAGCAGCTGGGGTAGGGAGGCTAGGCCAAGCCCATCAGGTGGGGAAGCAGGTGGCTGTTCCTGAAGCCAAGCCGCTGGACTGCCTGGAAACCCTGGCCTCACCTCCTGCAGGCTTGGCTACACTCCAGCCTTTAAGGGCAGTTCTGGGGGATGGGACTAGGGCCTTGTAGCAGGCAGAGAGGGGAGATAGGTCCTAGGCAAACAGGAACAGCCAGGTATCCCTCGTGGCAGCTGCTTCTACCCAGAGGGAGGCTGGGGAGTGCCTACAGGGTAGGGTGGCCTATTGGCAGGAGTCCCTATAGGACCTCCATGTGAGGGGCCACAGTGTCACTGCATGCTAGTCCGGCTTGGCTTAGAGTGTCCACTTAGAGGACTTCAAGCACCACAGGCCAAGGACATTGATACGGTTTGGCTGTGTCCCCACCTATTGGGGGATGGGAGGTGTCGCTGCTGTTGTTTTGCCTGCAGAGTTCCAGGAAGGAGCCCCAGGCAGCTCTGCTGTGGATGTCCCTGTTCAGGCAGATCTGGAGATGCTTTGCCAGAAAGGAGGGTTCGGTCGCATGGAAGCGCTCTCATTCTCAGCTAGACAGCCTGCAGGATGTGGTGCATCCCGGAGCCCAGCCCCTTCTCTCTGCTCTAAGCCAACCAGCCAGCCACAGGACCTGACCCCTGAGGCTCAGGAGGATGGTGAGGGTCACTGTGGCGTCTGCACTTCATGTACCTTCATAGCACCCACGGCACATCCAAGAACATCCCCAGAGAGTCATGGTCATTTTCCGTTTCTCCATCTTGTGGCTTATCTGCCATGAGGAGGAGGCCAGGTTGGAGCTGAAGACTGGGGCTGAGTGTGACAGCTGCTTTTTTGAGAGCAGCCCTGGCACGGCTGTTTGCTCTAAACTCTGTACAGCTTCCTGCCCTGGGAAATGCAGAATTAATTGAATGCCATGTGCAGTGATTACGGGAAGAAGGAGATGAGGTTGGGGGGGGGACTGTCTGTACATCCTGCCAAGGAAACTAGGAATAAATTCAAACTGTCACCTTATGCTGAGCTTTCTTAGCAGGTGTCAGTGGAGCAGTCACCTCGTCTATCCCAAACACAGCACCTCACAGCCTGAGCACATACTTCGCAGAGCCAGCCAGAGCCTCTGGGAGGCCCA